TTGTTGATGTTAGGAACTAGAGACATCACATAATCTGACTCCTAGCTTGTGGTAGGAATCATTCAGGCCCATAAGGAACTGTAGAAGTCTATGATATTCAAAGTGAGCAGCATATTTCTTAGATTCTGGACATGGACACCCAGGGCAAGGCATGAGTGCATCAAATTCATCCCATAAATCTTTGATCTTGGAGAAGTAATCAGAAACAGTCATAGTTCCCTAAGTAAGAGTATGAATGTCCCTGTGGAGAAGAAGTACCCTAGAGCCATTCACCTTGTCAAACCTTTACTTTAAATCTTCCAAGACCTTGTGAGCATTGGATGCATATACAACACTACTCAACAGTCCTGGTCGTACAACATTCATTATCCATGACAGATGTACTGCATTCACCTTTTCACATTGATCATTGAGGTTCAAATTTAGACTTAGGATACCTTCCATCAACAAAACCTAATTTGCTTTAACCTAACAGACCAATTCGCATAGATCTACTCCATATAGCGTAGTTGTCCGAGCCAGTCAATTGAAGAGAGATTAGAGAACTACCTGGAGTATCTGTAGGTTGTAGGTAGAGAGGATGATTGTGGTCAACTCTGGTGAATCTGGTCGTACTGGATGTCGGAGGGACATTTGCATGTGAGTGATTGTTGTCTTCATCTGTAATTGCTATTTTCAGCTTCTTCAAGTTCAATTCAACTCGGTTTCGAGTGATTTCGAAGAAACCCTAGCTTCAATCCTCTTTCACTTTGCGACAATCCAACACCCCCGTGTGGTTGAATTGAGGTGACGCAGAGATCAAACGAGCGAAAGACTGAGCTTAGATCGATGATGCAAGCTCTGATACCATGTTTACTTCCATGGCTATGGAAGCTGGAGCTCTGGAAGAAGAGGGAGAAGAAGGTTCGAGAAGACAGTTGAAGCATATTCTGTTATTTTCTAAAATGTACTGTACAAACTAACTCTCATTTTTACTATTCTATTTATACACATTACAAACATTAGCTAACTACTTGCTTAACGACTAATAACGTTATTATGGATATTGAGGAAGTTGCACGAGGATATGTTTATCGCTCTATTGCAAAGAAGTGGGCTGCAAGTAGGCAGAAGTTGTGGGATGAGTTTAAAGACCCACTTAAAATCAAAGATGAGATTATGGATAATGTTCCGGTAGGTATTACTCGGGATCAATGGACTTCCTTTGTGAACTACCGTTATAAAGAAGAAACTCAGGTACTTTTCTGAAATGTCACATTGAAATGCATAAAAATATGATTATTCATTTATACAATTGACTGAAATGTATCTTATTGTTAGAACATGTGTAAAAGAAATGCTGAAAATCGGAAGAAACAAACAGTTCCACACACCGGTGGCTCCAAACCTAATTCTAGAAGAAAGGCTGAAATGGTGAAAGATGTCACATTATTTACCTTACTTTACTATTTAAATTTTAGATATTGTATCTATTTCTTTTACTTTAATTAAACTATTTTGACTTTTTTTTATTTTCATATATAGATGGCTGAGACAGGGAGAAAGCCTGGACGAGCACAACTTTATCTTGCTACACATACGAAAAGAGATGGATCATATGTAAATGAGGAGGCAAAAGAAATATGTGTAAGTTAAAATATAAGACCATTACACCTACATCATTACGTTTGTTTCAACATTTATGTTATGATGTTTTGGTCTAGTCTATTGACCGACTCTCAGTGATGATTCTGTTCATGTTCTCATGTTGACTTGTTTGCCTAAATGACTCTAGTCAGCAGTCTTGTTCATGATACTATATTGCTCTTAATAGCTAAGGTAGAATGATCTATGTGTGACTATCATGAAAACTAGAATAAAAGGAATCACTTCAATGGCATATTGCTTCTAATACATGAGACTTCATCGTTCAGACTTATAAAGAATCTTTGCTCTTATAATCTTTGCTCATCATTGGATGATGAAGTTGAAGTGGTTAGATCGGATGTTGCACCCACTTCTTAAGAATTGGACCTTCTTAAGTCCATGATCCAATCTTTAGGTTAGTTCTTTGCTCATCATTGGTTTATCTTTTCTTTAGTGCTGCTTTATTTGGCGTTTCTTTGAGGTTATGCATTCTTTAATAGAACTATGCGCGGATTGGCTTCATGTCCTGTGGCTCTGCTGTATAAAGTGATCAGCATTTTTAAATAAAGCATGACTATTGCTTCTAATACGTGAGTGTATATCAAAACGACAACGAAAGAGAGAAGCTTTCCATATCATATATGATTTACACTTATCTACTGGAACTTGCTCCTTATTTTTAGGAAGTTGTCATGTGTCTAAGTCAATAATGAACTTCTGCAATTGGACAATAGTTTATTGGACAGATTTATTAACATTCATATGTTGAATTATGACTTTTCATCTTATTCATAATTTGTAAAGATTCAACTTGCAAATGCTGACATGTTGTGTTATAGTCTGCAGACTACTGTAATTACAGCTAACTGCTTGAACAAAATATCCTACATATTAACAGCTAGTTGTGGATTATAGAATATAGCTGAGACAAAGTGCAAGAATAAGTATATTCTGAAAATACTTATGTCATGATTTGTTCTAATGATTAACCTACTTAGAGAAGGTTATGAAGTGTTGGACCTTTAGGGAGGATGATAAAACAAGTGCATATGCCCAACTTTGTCAACTACTGATGCTCTAGGCTACTGATTGCACCTTATGGCAGGAAATAGATAATTATTGCGAAGCGTAGTAATAACCAATTTATAATGTTGGCTCAGATTTTTTAATGTATATTGTGTTTAGGAAAACATTGAGCTAGCAGTGAGTGAAAGTATAGTGGATGAGTCTGAAATTTCTCCAAATGATGATGTTGGTAAGGTGCTAGGCAAAGAGCATCCTGGAAGGGTGAGATGTTTGGGATTAACAGCTACTCCAAGCAATACTTTCAGAGAGACAAATCTTTGTCTTGGTAATATTAGAATTGTGAGTAATAATGTTGGATATTCTTCTTCTGGATGCCAAGAGAAGTACAATCAATTGATGAGTACTCTCAAAGAATATATGATAATGAAGGAAGGGTCAATACCAGAACAATTTGCTGGGATCTTTGCTTCTCCTCCTACAACGATAAATGCTAAGTTCTTTTATTTTTGGTGTATTGTGCAATTTTATTTTTCATTTGTGAAGTGCTGAGAGTCACTATGATAACTGGTGCGACTTTGGAGTTTTGGGACTCCATAGTCACTATGAAAAATCAACAATTTGTCTATCCTTTTCCACCTAACAAGCTGGAGAACCACAATGAATATGTAGCAGATTGCTGCATAGAATCCTTTTGAATTTAATCATGTACTCATTCCTTCACGTTTTAAATTTGACATGTAGAAATGGCAAGAATATTACAATGTAGAAATGTAAATGTAACTTGAATTTTCCTCTAAGGGACCAAATCTGACTTGTGTTTCTGGGCTTTCAAGCAAGAAGCAGATTACTACAATGAATACTACTCTAAACATTGTCATACACTAGTAGAAAGAACTTGCATAGAATCTTAATTTAGAGTAGTTACATGACAGAATCCTAAAATAAAATTCCACAGTATGATCCATGACAAAATTCTCATAAGTAATGTCTTTTGCACAAGAAGACTCAATGAAACTTCAAGTAATATTTCCAAGTGGCAAAGTGTATTTTATTTCTCATTGAGATAATTTTATTTTATCCCAATGACTTGTTTCCTCATACTCCTCTTAATAGTTGTATTTTTTTTTTTACTTTTTGCTGCAGCCAAGTGATGCAGCTAGTGGACCCGTTTCACCGACGGATGCAAGAACATCTTCTGGCGCAAGTAATCCCAGTGACAACCATTGAGATTCATTTTAATTGAAGTGGATGTATTAGGACAATGTAATAGCTGATCACTAATATAGATGGTTAACTATGTTATAATTTAGTTTGAAGACATATGATACTACTGTGTAATAGTATTTTTCACGGTTAATGAAATGTTGATGTTTCTTAATTTTAATATTTTGGTTTAAGCATAAATATTTTAATTGATATTAGGGGAAAAGTATGGCAAATTGATGATAAAAGATCAATTCTATAATATATTTAAAAATAGATGGGGATAAAACCCCCAAAAAGAAATTACAGATTGCGGGGGTGTACAACCCCTACACTCAAAAAAAAAAAATTTAAATTTTAAAAATAAAATTCTATTTTCGCGCATGAAATTGCGGATGTTAAAATTGAAATTTGCGGAGGTTAGAAACCTCCGCTAATTGCTGTTACGGCGGTTCGAGAAACCCTCGCATTTGTCTGCCGCAAATTAATAGTGGCGATGCATACTGCGGGGGTCTGCTCAACCGCCGTGACAGCAAATAGCGGAGGTTCCTAACCTCCGCAAACTGCAATTTTAACCTCCGCAATTTACCCGTTTTTTTGTAGTGAACATTAACTACCTAAGCTATCTAGAGTTAGGTAGACTTGAGTACTCTCAACAATATTTGCCCCTCACCCGTTAAATGAACCGTCCCACCTTAAATAAAATGACACGTTGCTGGGCTTAGATTATTTTTAAAACCCGATCCATTTTAATCAAACCCACCGTTCCGCATCCAAAAACCTTTTTAAATCTCTTCAAATGGTTAAAGCCATGGTCTAGGCTGGTGACCTCCATTGCACTTTAGATGGGTGCTTGTATAAGGTCGCCTAAGTGATCGAGCTTACGTCATAATTTGTCATGAAAAATATTTAAAAAATAACACTTCGTTCTTCTTTTACAGGCAATTAATATATAGTTTTTTGTTCCGAAGTATTGAAATTGTTAGTAAAGTAACTTTAAGATATTTTTTTTAAGGGGTCTTTGACGAAACAAATTAAACGAGCAGGTTAGGTAATTACCTGCCCTAAAAAATAGTAAGCAAAGAATAAAGCTGTGGAAATGATTACAAAAACAAATTGAAAAAGTAGAATAAGAATTGCAAATGTAAGATAGTGCGTCCACGGTCCATGGACAAGGACATTTCCGTTATTTTGTATTACATGTATAACCAAATACAAAGGGTACACATAGAAGCCAAGCAACATACAACAACAACAATAGCAATAAATTAACCCAGTGTAATCTTACAAATGAGGTCTAGAAAGAGGTACTGTGTACACAAACCTTACTTCTACCTTGTAAAGATAAAGAGACTGCTTCTGATAGACTTTCCGTTCAAGACAAGCATAAAGTCAGCGTTTATTTAGGAAAATAGAAGTGAAAACTTTCAAAGTTCTTTTAAAAGAAAATTTAAATTTCTTTCTTTTTTCACATGTCCGCGATCGAATTCCCATTAACCCTGCTGCAGACGTCGCGAATTTCCAATCGAGCGCCAGGAGAGGGAGGCAAGTCCCCCATTTTAATCATGGCAGCATTGAAGTCACGTAAGAAAAGAAAACCATTGTTACTATAGCTTCGAACAAAGTCATTAGTAGTACTATTCCCAGTAAGCACTTGGTCCGAAAACAGTAGTCCCTGATTCCTATTTAAATCATCGAAATAAGCCTTGTCGAAAAAAGCAGGAGTTACCAAATCCAATGGTACCAAATTTGTGTCGTTGTTATTGACAGGGCAATTACACTTTAGCGTTGATTTCATAGCTCGATTGATATTGTTGTCGTTACACATTGTGACGCACCTCGCGAAACCTATTGTATGTGCTCCGGCCAACGCTACCATTTCCCTGGCTGACATTCCTTTTGCGTTGAATTTCTTTAATTGGGTGTTGAGATCGTCGAATGGTGCAGGAAGTTGTGTTAATGAGCCAGTGAAATTTGCAGTTCTTGCATCTCTTCGGCCTAGTCGCACTGGGTATGGTATTCCTCCCAACTGTTGATTAAACATAAACAATATGATTAACATGAAAAGAATTGTTGTAAGAATTTAAAGTATATAACGTAACGTTTTTTTTGTGTAATATCAAAATTTAGTATGGGTTGGCTGGGTTTGATTAAAAGGAGGCAGTTCTTTTTTATCCAATCAAGGCCAGCTACATGTCTTTTTTAAGACGGGATCAAGCCATTTAACTGGCGGGAGACAAATATGATCTCAAAGTATGATGATAAAGGTAGTTATACTAAGAAAGTGAAACAGGGGTAAAATATTGCTTATTTTCGATTATAAAGGGTCAAATATGACTCTTTCTTGTTTTAGTTACATGCCTTATTTTTCAATTATTAATCTCACATATTATGCAAAATTATATGTACTTATATTTTAGGGGACCTACCGACAGGGCAAAAAAATTTATTTGCAATGAGTGAATAGAAGTTAGATTTTTGTTTAAAATTTTAAATTTTGGAGGGACAATATCTCTAAGTCAACTAAGCCCTTTTGAAGGTGCAAAAATCCAAGATAAGAACGTAAGACTACACATCAGCATCAAATATATATTGTGTCCACGTTTGAAATGAATAATTTAGGCAAGATGTTGACGTTGATTAAGGCAGTCATAAGCTGGCTTATAGTGACTTCCACAAGTTACTCTTTTTATTTATGAATCGCAACAAGTGCCTTCCTCCCCACCCACCAACACCTCCTTTAATACGTGATAATCAGGATTATATATATATATTTTTGTTTTTCATCTATTTACTGGTTCTTGTAATGTTATTATTAATTCTATGATTTTTGTTGATGGTACTGATATATTGTCTATTTTCGACTTCATGAGCCGTGATCTATCGAAAACATCCTCTTTACCCCTTCGCCGTCGGGATAGAGGTAAGGTCTGCGTACATGCTACCCTTCCCAAGACCCCACTTGTGTGATTTTAGTGTGTCGTTGTTGTTGTTGTACTACTAGTAAGCGTAGAAGAAACTCTTAACTACCTGTCAACCTACCACCTTAATTCATTTTAGACACATAAACTGTAAATAAACAAATCAAATTTACACATTAGTGCATAGAATTGAAGCTCATATTGTAGCATAAATATAGATCATAGTAACTTACCAAAGCAACAGAGTCGCGGGCAGCAAGGGCTAGGATATCTGCACAAGAAACAGCTGCGCCAGGGCACATATTTTTTATCCTTTGTTTAGCCTGATCAATTACCTCAAAACCTCTTACTGAATTATCATTTGGTGGCGAACTTTTTTCTCCTTGGAAACTTCCAGGAATATCATTTAGAAGAATTCCCCCATCACATCCCTAAATTAATATAATATCACAAAGTCAAATATTAGGCCAACAATATTACGATATCATAAAACAGGCTACTAACTATTTACCAAAATATAAGGGGCAACTAATTAAGCAAGTAGGCATGTACTCAAAAGTAACATCTTCTCGTTGTTGTCCTTAAAGTTAAAGAAGTTATGTTTCCACTATACTACTATATATATATATAGCTAGTAATAAAAAAAGATGTTGGGTCATAATAGCTAGTAATATTTGACTTTGTCTTCAAAATTTTCCACGTGTTTTATTTCAAGAAGTAAAAGAAATGCATAAAAACACTTCTATTATTGTATTCAGTCAATGAGGGATAACTTGTATTTTTGTTTTTCCCCAATGATGGCCTTTTTGATTTCATGTTTGTATTCCAAGTCCGTTAGTAATCGTTTACAGTGGGTGGATAAGGAAGAGGAGATTTACTGTGGTTAGACTAACCGGCCGAGAAGGTTAACAAGGTTCCTGATATGGTGAAGTGAATTTTTTTTTTATATATAATGCTAACTCCTCTCAATATTAACCCTTGTTAATTACTTGTAATTGATAGTACTAAAAAGTGCATGTTCTCATACATGCAAGACTTTTACCGTAATTGATTTTTAGATAGTTAAAGGCCAAAGAAATAGTGACCAAAAAAAAAGTAAGAAATGCAAAATGCTTAAAACTTCTTACAGTATAGAAGAACTTTTATACTATCATCTAATCCGAAAGGTAAAGCTTACTATTTATAGAAAGCAGGATTAACAACTTGAAACAAAAGTGTAGTTACCTGATAGCTACAATAGGGTAAAATATGACGATAAATTAAAAATTCTTTACTCTATCGATGTTAGGAGGATGAAAAAACTTACATCAACAAAGCAGTCATGGAAAAAGAGACGAATGAGAGACGCTCCCATTCGTCTCTCTCTCCTAATGGCTTGAGCCACAACTGTTCCAACAGCGGCAAAGATGCAAAATTCCTGAGATAACATGTCTGAATTTTGCTCCAAAATATTGCTCTCTGACTCCATTTTGACATCAAAATCTTTCATAACTGTGGCTACATCTGTGTTCTTGTATATAGAGATGCCAGCTAGGGCAAGAGCCATAAGGCTAAGTGCCAAGCTCAAATGAGTTGCACCACAACCCATGATTCAAGTGAATTAAAGAGAGGATTTTAATTAGGAGGAATTGCTTTTTTGGGATGATTTTCTTGTTTGCTTTTGGCTACTTTAAATAGGAAATTTGGTCAATATTTGGCTATATTATATTGCTAGTAAATGACTTTAATGAGAGCGGTTGGGTGTGGAATAGACTTTTGCTCAAGGGCAGCTCAACACAATTGGGGTCTAAAGCCAAACTTCAATAAAAGCTCTAATTTTTCTAATTTTTTGAGATACAAAATTATGAATAATTATTTTATAATCAATTTCTTCTAATTATTCTTTTTCAATTGACAATATAGCTAATTCATTCAATATCTCTCCAGCAACATTACTAGTATTAAAATCATTTCTACTTTTAAAAGGCTTCTTTCTGCCAAGACAACTTACATGAACTGTTAACACGATTCTATAAGTAATATATGCATCAAATCCTTTTAATAAAAATATGTATAAAACAATTGAAAGTGAATTATATTTTTTTTTAAAATAAACTTATAAGTTAAAAAGCGGGGTCCCCAAAAATTAGGGGCCTAAAGCGTGTGCTCATAGTAAAAGTTGGCCCTGCTTTTGCTATATGATCAAATTTTTCCTATCTGACTCGTGTTAAGCACGTTCCTTTTGATAAACTTTCAATAAATGAATTATTCATGTAATATACTACTCCCTTTATCCCTATTTATGTGGTATTTTTCGCTTTCAGATATTTAAACTATGTGGATTTTGACCATCATTTTAACATGTATTTTTTCACCAAAGTGACATGGGATGAATTGCAAGTTATAGCATTTTCCCTATAGTTTTTGATGATCTAAATTTTGTTTTTAAAATATTAAGTTAATCCAATTCAATTTAGCTTTAAAGATTAGATAAATTGATTCTCGTTAAGCAAAAAGTACCGCATAAATTGAGATGAAGGGAATAATTTTAATTTTCATAGGTACATTGAGTATATTCTAAAGGTGGAGTCCATTACTCATATGGTCACTCAATGTGATGACCCAAAAGGTCATCTCGTATTTCAGAACCCAATTCGGGGTTCCGAGGCATTCAAAATCTCATTTTCCTTATCCTCGATTTGTGTGTGCAGCCGGGCGTATTTCGAGAGAGCCTTTATGTGAAAATTTGAGAAAAATATTAAATTTTGCCTTTAAAAGTGATATTTTGTTGACTTCGGTCAACATTTTGAGTAAACGGACCCGATCCATGATTTGACAGTCGGAGGGTCCGTAGATAAATATGAGACCTGGGCATATGCCCGGGATCGAATTCTGAGGTCCCTAGCACGAGAAATGAATTTTTGAAGAAAATTGTTAAACTAGAAATATAATGGTTTTTAGAAATTGAATAATGTTTGAACCTGTTGGTATCGACCCCGTATTTTGGTTCCGGAGCCCGGTACAGGTCTGTATGATATTTATACCTTATCTGAGAAATTTGCTGAGAAACGGGACTGATTTGACGTGATTCGGACACCCGGTTGTAAAAATAAAAACTTTAAGTGTTCTTGAGAATTTCATTGATTTTGATGCAAAATCCGTAGTTTTAGGTGTTATTTTAGCGATCTGATCGCACGAGCAAGTCCGTATGATATTTTTAGACTTGTGTGCATGTTTGGTTTGGAGCCCCGACGGCTCGGGTGAGTTTTGGATAGGCTACGGGATGTTTCGGACTTAGAAATTTCTGCTGTTTTGCTGTTGCAGGTGTGATATCTAGGGATTCTATTTTATTTTATACTCCTTTTTACTTGAGTTTTGGATTAAAAATGTATACAAATAGTCCCAAAAGCTTACATGTTGTATTTGTTTGCAGGGTTTGGTCTAAAAAATGACAAGAAGTGAAAACCAACTCAAAAAGGACTGCACAAGTACCAAGAACAAGTCAAAGCATTGCTGCAGCATAAAATCCATTGCAGCTGCAACAGACCCATCGCGGCCGCGGTCCATTTAGTGCGGTCGCGGTGGGTAAGTTCAGAGAGGTGCATTCCTGGGGTTCTAAGCAGTGCGGTCCGCAGAAGATTCTTCACGGCCGCGGTAGCCTTATCGCGGCCGTAATCCATATGTTGCGTTCCACAGAGAGGGGATTCAGAGAGCTCAGGATTTCGGAAGTTTCAAGACACCGCGACCGCAGTCCATTTGTTGCGGTCCGCGGTCAAGCCACCGCGGCCACGGTGCATTTTATGCGATCCGCGGTGGCCAGATTCAGAGAATAAGGAGTGAAGCCAAAAAACCTCACCGCGGCCGCAGTGCATTTTCTGCGGTCCGTGGTACCTCCGTCAGGGGTATTTTTGTCCAGAAAATTTGGCCTTTTATAAATACTTCTTTTTCAGATTTTTAGGGTATCTTTATCTTAGTTGAGCACGTGAGCGGTGGTTTTAGCCTATTTTGAGTAATTTTATAGCTGGTTTAACATTGAATCTTCAAATCTTAGCTTGTAATTATATTTTATGGGTTGTTCTTCATCTAAATATATGATTTCTTCCATTATTATGAGTAGCTAGACCCATTAGCTAGGGTTATGGCTCAACCCTAGTGTGGGTATTTGATGGGTCTTTTGTTCTAAGGCTTAGGTGTTTATGGGTGGTTGATATTTGGACTAATTTGTGTTATCCATATTGAATTAGTGGTTGCAAACACTAATTTGTGCCTATTTGACTTGGGATCTTCTTGAGAAAGAGAGCTTGAGTCTAGGAAAATCAGTTCAACAAGGAATTGGGGCGTATTCAAGAGATTGATAGCCCCAATTAAAAAGGTTAAATCTAGAGATAGTAATACCCGACTTGAGCCTATATTGCTTGCATAATTTTGACACCCAATTGGTCTTGAGAAAGTCAATTAGGTTAAAGTCACTCAAGCTACCGAGAGGTATAGAGTGAGTAGTGTCGTGCATTGGCTATATCGCGATCCCAAACATAACAGCTTTGCCTTAGGCTTTAGGAACCGTCAAGTATTCACCTAGGAGAAAGTCACTTCCCTAGTGTCTCGTTAACCATTTAGAAAACCTTACAAGCATTCATACTTAGCTTAATTTCGCATATCATTAGCATAAAATTAGAAGTAACAAACAAACAAATATGATTGGAAGTGTAATCAAGAGCACTACGCACTGCTAGATTAGATAGAAATCCAACTCCAAACATTGTTGTAGCTCCCTGTGGATTCGATCCCGACCTTCTCGGGTAAAAGCTGCATCGACCGCTTTTGCCACGTTGTAGTGGTGTAGGGTTGGTCCCGATCACTTTTTGGCGCCGTTGCCGGGGAGCTAATGGTTTTGGCTATCTATCTAAATAGTTTTGCGTATTGTTTTTCTTTCTTTCTGTGATACTAATTTGTGGTGAGGCCAATTCAGATACAAAATGGCGGCAAACAACAACAATGACCCTCATGGAAACATGGTCCGGGGGAGGAGGTTGATGATAACGGTGAAGATGAGGTGCCTCTTGTACCTCAAGGACAAAGGAGAAGCCGACAGGCTAATGATAATAATATTCCAAACCCTCCCCCGCCACCTACCAGAGCTGTACCTGGAGTGCTTCCCAACCAAGGATATGCTAGTGCAATTGTCCCTCCCCGCATCCGGGCGGGAAATTTTCAAATTATTAACGTGATGTTGACATTGTTGGAGCAGTGAGGGTATTTCACTGGTGCTCCCCATCAAAATGCTTACAAGCACCTTAAAGGATTTGTTGATACATATTGGGGGAGCAAGCAAACGAATGTGTCCGAGGATGCCTTGCGGTTGAGATTATTCACTTTCTCTCTTCGAGGGAAGGCGTTGGATTGGCTGGAGAGACTCCCCAACCACTCCATCCATAAATGGGATGAGTTGGCGGATAAATTCATTGCAAAGTTTTTCTCGCCGGGTCACATGGCAACCTTGAGGGATGAAATCTTAGCTGTCAAACAGGAGCCCAACGAACCACTGCATGAGATATGGGAGCAATGCCGGACTATGGCGAAGGAATGCCCAAATAATGATATGACTGAGGCAATGATACAACAGACATTCTACCGAGGCATTAACACAACAAATAAGTGCATAGTGAACCAACTAGCTGGGGGCAATTTCATGAACACACCGTATGATCAAGCTTGTGAGATATTGAATGAGATGGCGGACACTTCTCCGCTTGGCAAGGTCGAGAAAATGTGCCACAGGGTGACCCCACGGTCATTCACTTGCACAAAGAGCTCCATGATCATGGGCAAGTAATAGCAGAACTTACAACAACAATGAACCAGCTAGCAAAGGCACAATTACAACAGGTTCAAACTCCACGACAAGTAAATGCTATGGAGGGTGTCAACATATTAGTGAACAAAAAAAGACAAAGAGGGCAACAGAACCAAGGGAATTCAGTTCAATATGACCAAGATAGTGGTGGGTTCCAAGATGATGGGTACGATGAGTAAAATGAAGAAGTGCAATACGTGAACAACTATCAAGGCCAAAAGGGCAATTCTTCTAATCAACAGCAACAATTGAGATCCCAAGGCAACTGGGGAAATCAACAACAACAAGGGAACAATAATTGGGGGAACAACAACCAATATCCAAATTGGGGCAACCAGAACAATAATCATAACTATTAGGGTAATTGGGGTAACAACAACAACAACTGGGGTGGAAACAACAATCAGGGTGGTTGGAACATTAGCAATCAGGGAAATCGGGGGCAAGGCTTTCAAAGGCCCCCGATGTATCAATAACCCAACAATCCACCTCTATTTCCATCCCAAGGTCCTAGTTTATCCAACAATGAAATGGGGAGAATTGAAATAATGTTTGAACAGATGATGAAAAAGAATGCTGACTCCGATGCTCAGTTGGCATCCCACAATACTTCAATTAGAAACTTGGAGGTTCAATTAGGCCAAATCTCACAATCCTTGAATACTCTCCCTAAGGGGGCTCTACCTAGTGATACGGTAGTCAATGGCGGTAACTACAAGAAGTGGACGAGGTAGTGATGTGAATGCCTCCAAACAAAAAGAAATTTTGAGTGATGAAGTTGAGTTGCAAGAGGATGAGGTCCCTTTGGTGGTTGAAATGTGATTGAT